CCCCACCCCAAAAAAATGAACTGGGGGAGTTGAGGCGGATGAAGAAAGTGAGGAAACTTTTCCTAGATATTGATAAGAGATGGAGGAAAGTAGCATTGAGAACGTGTTGGGAGAATGGAAAATGGGGAAGCAAGAAATAGAAGAGAGTTAAAAGCTGGGAATATAGCATTATAAGAAAAATTCTACATCGGGGATTGCTTGACAATCTGAACTATATATCATGAATATGGCAAAGTTGCGTTATTCTTCTGTCGCATGAATTTCAGAATTTTGTGGTGCTAAATTTTTTTTCTTTTCTCTTTTTGGCTTTTGATTGGTTAGTGTAGAATGGAGGAGTGGTCATGTCTCTTTTACATAGGTCTACACGAGTATGCACCTTTTTACTGAACCTGAACAAAATAGTGCTTCTTAAAAATGCATGAAGATGTAAAGATGATTCTAGTTACAGCTTAAAAAAAAAGAATAGATACATTCTAGTTAGTATGCTTCAAGGCACTGGTAGCTTCTTTAATACATCCTTATTCCTGGTGTCTATTTTAGATTTATCCAATATTAAGCAACTTTGGGGCTTAGACCGGATTGTCTTTGTTGGCTTTTCAAGATCATTTCCACCCTTTTCTTGTCTATGCTTCTAGTTTTTTGGAGGTTACTCCAAAAAATTTTAATGCCTTGGGAGGGGGAGGGTGAAAGAGGCATTTGATAAGAACTAGTTTGGGATCAGCAACCGAAAGGTTTTCGTTTAGTGAACTCTTGCCACCCTATCTTATTTGACCTACATTCCATTTAGATTGGTTCAATACTGAAATCTTTCCTTAATCGTCGTAACTACCAACTTCAAAAAGTCAAATAACATTTTGAGATGTTATTTAAATGTAAAATTGGATCACTTAATACTAACATTATGATCCTCATATGAGTATTCTATATTATGGAACTTAGTAATAACATTCCAAAAAGGGGTGAAGTGGTATAAATTAAGAGTAAAAAAAGAGGTATAAATTAATTATTCAGGAAAAAAGACAGGCGTATAAGCCCTCCGCCAAGCTAAGTAAATCTGGTATTTAAGTGGAGAAGGGTAAAGGGGGCCCATTATCCCCGAGTTTCGAAGGATGCTGTTGGTACAAGGGTTGGTTCCCGACTGATTATCCGGTCATAAAAAAAGAGGTATAACAAAGCACGGCGTTGACGGTAGCATAGGTGTACAGGGAGGAGGAAGTTGGAGATTCTAAAATCTTCTAACTTTACCAGTATATGATATCACAGACATATTAGGATTCCTAGATATGATTTTTCTCCTGTTCATGGTGAAAAATCAATCAGGTCGAACAAAATATGATGAATATGTTCTAGGAAATAGGGATAATAGGAAATTTTCTTGGGCTTGACTGTTAAACAAAAGTTCAATCCAATGCTTATACTTGCGGGTAAATATTAGTTCTCTTTTTGTCAATCCTCGTATCACTTTGTATCTTAATTTTCTGAATGATTGAAAAAGGAAATATTTCACTGGAAATACTGTCCTCTAGCTCATATACAGTGGTCTTATTAGGATACAAGAGCTACCATTATATCTGGCATATTTTCACTTTTTTTTGGAGATTGTCGGCAGCAACAGTGACCCACTGAGGTAATAGAGCAAATGAAATGGTGCTAAGAGTGGCTTGTTTTGCTCATCCGTACTGTTTGCTGATTTGCACATTGTGATACAGGATGTTTTCGTCAATTCTTTTTCAATTTTGCTTATAATTAATTCTGACTTGGTATTCGGTTTTCTTTTCAACAAAAGTATTTTGCTTTGTTTTTATCTTTTTTGTACGATGCAGTTTCTTGTTGAAAACTGATGTGTGATTTAGGTTCTTGAAGCTGTGCAAGGATGCTGGCGGGATCCAGAACTGGGACTTTCTCCATATGATGTGCACTCTCACTCAGGGTTTCTGAAGCATCTAATGCTTAGAACAGGCAGGTATTTGAATCCTCTTTCAGTCCTTGTGTGAATATAGCATTGAAGTCGCTTGTTGCATTAAGCATCACTTTCCTTTGTCTGGGGTTGGGGTAGTTGGAGTGCCTGAGGTGGCATGATATTAGTAGTAATCTTTGAGCATGTAAGTATGAATAAAACTTAACTACAACAACGAGATTTCAATCCTGAACTAGGGCATCGGCTGTATGAATCATCAGTTACCATTTCGCTCCAATTGGATCCGTTTCATTCTCTAAATCTTTCAGGACAAATAAGGGGTTCTCTAAATTAGGAGACGTTACTTTTTGGTGCTTAGTTCCAGGTTATGTTTGTAATATGAACAAGTATTTTCTTTCAATTTTTAGCTTCTTCCCTAAATTGTAAGGATAAGTATGCCTGCATTGTTGCTTAGTTTCTGTTGTACTGTATTTGGAGATAGTTATTATCATTTGGATGCTGTATCTTACACCTAACAAGAGTCTTGTCACTGTGTCAATCTTGCTTGCAGGAATGTTGAAACTGGTCTTCCTGAGCTTATGGTTAATTTTGTGACTTCTTCTTACAATCCTGAATGCTTGAGGCCCATTGTTGAGAAAATTGCAGCTATTCCTGAAGTGGTTGGTTAACATACTTGCAGATAATTTTGTTCTTTTGTCTATTAGGATGAAGAAATTCCAAAAATTAACTACTTACTTTGGGAGTCATATTACTTGACCAGTAAATTGCTTTTAATCCTGAACCAAATCCGCGCCTCCTAAGTCAAATTTTTAATCAACTCAACTCCTCTACATGTTGACTGGTTGTATCTTTTGAGATGATGTGTAGCCTTCTATATTCCACAACATTACCTTTCAATCGGTCACTGTAGATTTCTACGAAAATTCTCTTATCAACTTTTTTGATATTTACTCAGTTTTGCTCTTTTGATGTCTAACAGGTGAGCATTGTTAACAATGTGAACACTTCTATCGGCAACACATCCGTTGGGGAGAAGGAATATACATTGTATGGAAAATCTACCATTACAGAGATTCTAAGAGGGCTTACTTTCCAAATATCAGCTAACTCTTTCTTTCAGACAAACACACACCAGGTATTTGGTAAAGAAATGGAAGGGACCAGATCTTTGATTTTTTCTAGTTCACCTCCGGACCCTGTTCAATTTTCCATCTTATGATAAATTTGGTGCTAAATAAAAACTCTTGCACTTTTCAGGCAGAGATTCTCTATAAACTAATTGAGGATTGTGCCTTTCTTAAAGGAGATGGCTCTGAAATTGTTCTTGACTTATTTTGTGGGACAGGAACCATTGGCCTTACACTGGCCAAAAGGTAATAAATCTCATCCCTGATGCAAGTTCATGATTTTGCGTGTATGATATTACTACTATTTCAATTTGCAGGGTGAAGCATGTTTATGGTTTTGAAGTAGTTGCTCAAGCTGTCTCTGATGCACGTCAGAATGCCAAGTTAAATTGCATTGATAATGCAACTTTTATCGAAGGAGATCTGAATAAAATTGATTTGAACTTCGCCAGCAACTTGCCTAAGCCGGATATTGTCATCACAGGTTCGTTCATGTTTTTTATGGATAATTTATTTCATTTGACACTAGCTGTATTTTGTAAGTTGGCCGACCTCTTTAGGCTGGCTCTCTACGTGTGTCCCCTTTGAGAGGAAAAGATAGAATTTGGGGGGGAGTGTGGTCAGCATTCCTTATACTGTAAGATCAGTAGTTGTATTTGTATAAGAGGATTCATATGAAATGATTAATGTACTTAGGAAGTGATAAATTTGTTAAGAAAGGAAAAATTGTCACTGGCATGTTGCATCAGGAAGTTTGTCTTGTAAGTTGGCCGAGCTCTTTGGCGTTAGTTCTATACTCGTGTCCCCTACTCCCCTTCAGAAGAAAAGATTGAAATCAAACAAAAAATTTGTGAAGCTATGCCCTATTTTGACGTCTCAACCATAGAGAAGTTGTTTTCCTGTGGTAGATGATATTTGCAATTCTTGAACAAGATCTTTGCTGTTGTATTTTTACTGTTTTCAGTAAATGGCTGATGAGTCCAGTATTTAGTACTTAATCTACATGAAGTACTTGTTCCTGAGCAACTCTTTTTTATTTGATGAAGTAAGATAATTCATTAAAGGCATCAAGAAGATGAAATAGGTAGGGAAGAGATAGAGTTAGCTCCACATGAGAGAATTATGCTAAGATCAGGGAGCTAACATAGTCCAAGAAAGGACCAGTACTATTTAAGGGGTTAGATTCGTCCAGCTACACGTCTAGCTTTTAGTGAGTAGTTTTGGGTTGAGATTCCATCAAATCTCCTGTGGTTTCTCTCTGGGATTGTTATCTAGATCTTTTTGATGGCTTTATCATTCTATATGAGCATCAGCATTCATAGGCTTCTTTAATTGATGGTGGCATGACCCAACTGCGTCCAAAAATAGAGTTATTGAGCAACTTATCGCTGATGGTTTGCGAAGTTTTTCTAATGGATAGGAATCGCTGTGATCTTGGTGTGTGTGGTACAGCTTTTGGGTAGTGCTTGATTCATGGAATTGCTTACATTCGTTTTTTGGTCATAACTGCAGATCCTAATCGCCCTGGTATGCACATCAAATTGATCAAATTTTTGCTAAAGTTAAAGGCAACACGCATTGTTTATGTATCGTGTAATCCTGCTACCTGTGCTCGTGATCTTAATTACCTCTGTTATGGTGTGGTGAGTATTTGAGTTATCATATTAATCCCACGAACATTTACAATTCAGTTTGCTAAAGTCCATTACATTTTCCAAATGCAGCCAGAGCAGAATATAGAAGGACATTACAGGCTGAGTAGCTTACAGCCAGTTGACATGTTTCCCCACACACCTCATATTGAATGTGTTTGCTTGCTTGAGCTTCAGTGAATACACTGGTTGTAAATATCTATGAATTTCTTATGTCCATTGCGTTCTTGCTGCGTTCTGGGGCTGTCGGCATAAACTCTTATGGGATTTAGAAGTTGAAGAATACACACGCACTCGTGCAGCGCAAACTGTTGGTGCTAGTGGTGAATAAATTTCATTCTACAAGTTTGCGATCTCGTGTCATTGCACAGAACGAGCAAGCAACATCAATCAACCACCTTCCTGATTTGACTATGTATAATTGTTAAACTTTGTAGTTCCTCTTTGCTTTGCTTTCATTGATGAATTTACTTAGTTATGATTGAATTCTTTTCTCTGTCCTTTGGTTGATAAGTTTGAGATCCTTTTCAGTCAACTATTTGTATGAGGAATTTCAGTTGAAGTCCGTGTTTAATCAATTCCAGTTTAATGGAAAGTAGGCTTGTTGTGGTGATCATAGTCTGCTTACTACGAAACAATTGCTACTTTACATGTTGGTTGATGTATCGATTCATGAAATACAACTCATTTTTTTAATTTTTGTTTAACTTTTATCTGGAATCGAAAAAGAAATACGTGTATATCTTATGTGCCTTATAATTGTTTCACAAAGATCAAAAACCAAAGTTGCTTGTAAGGTGTGATTCTTTACAAGCTCACACACCATTCATAGGGAAGACGCAGAATAAACGTTGGGTATCAAACAAAGGAATTGAACAACAAACACATCGCAGGTGGTGAAAACAGATGGATAAGGTGTTAACAAAAAAGCTAAAAAGACAGATAAGGATCCATCTTCCCTTTGTGATATCATCCAAAGAGTTGGGTTTGATATACTAGGCGTGTAAATTGTATTGCTTTATCCAATATTTGGTTTGTATTTAGGATCCTGTATAGTTAATTCTTGTATAATTTATTACACAAATTGGTATATAAATTTAACCTATTAGAGCATGGAATATCATACATGGATTAATTAATACATAAATTGAACACAAACAAGATAAAATTTCTCAAACCCATCATCAACACCTTTTCATTTTTGTAAGGATTCACAATGAACTCATATTATAAAATTTGCCTTATATATCATGCATGTTCAGTACAAAGAACCGGATAAAAATAATATTTGTATTACAATCCTTGTATAATTTATTTTCAAACCAAATGAATCCTAGCACCGATAATTCCATGATACCTCATCTTTTGTTTTTCCTTCAAATTTTGTGAAAGTAATAATAATTAAAAAGAATCAACCTGGCTCTACAACCTGACTTTGACTCACTAATACGATTCTCTCGACTTAGAATATGATCTCCTACCCGGACTTCAAGGTTTTGTGAAAATTTATAAAGTACTACAACTTCTTTCTTTAGCCTTATTTCTCTTTTCATATAATTGTATGGCAAGAAACAAAATTTTTATTAAAAAAAATAAATCAATGCTCAGTATAACAAGGTAGACCACTACTATAAATTCGCTAAAAACCGACCAAAACAACCGACCAAAATTGGTCGGTTATGGCCAATTATCGACCAAAACGCGACCATTTGGGTGTGGACTACCTATTTTGATGGTCGGAATGGCTTATCGACCAAAGTTGGTCGGAAATTACCGACCAACATTGGTCGAAAATTACCGACCAACGTTGGTCGGTAGCTTTAAACGACCATCTGACAATTTAAATTATTTACCGACCAACTTTGGTCGGAAACATATTTTATTAATTTAATTTTACCGACCAAAGTTGGTCGGTAAATAATTTAAATTGTCAGATGGTCGTTTAAAGCTACCGACCAACGTTGGTCGGTAGCTTTAAACGACCATCTGACAATTTAAATTATTTACCGACCAACTTTGGTCGGAAACATATTTTATTAATTTAATTTTACCGACCAAAGTTGGTCGGTGTAATTAATTTATGTTTTTTTTATTAATTATTAAAATTTTAAAAAATCGATCAACTTTCGTCGGTAATTGAAAAAATATATATATATTTTAAAATAATTAAAATTAAATATTACCGACCAACTTTGGTTGGTAACCTCAACAGTACAGGCAAAATACCGACCAAAGTTGGTCGGTAATGTTGAATTCTGGTTATTCAATGTTCATTAACCGACCAACTTTGGTCGGTAATTTGTAATTAATTTTTTTTAAATTAAAAACCGACCAACTTTGGTTGATTTTCTAGGTTTAATTTTGGCATAAAATGCCTGTTTTGGTAGATACACCACCTGCCAGCTTACCAATACCCCTAACAACTAAATTACAACAACAACATAACAACAACACAACAACAACAACAACACAACAACAACACAACAACAACCAAACATTCAATATATACTTTAAAACTAACAAATTAAAGTTCAATTGAACATAACAATCCAAAACCAAGTTAAAACTAATTACAACAAGTTTAAAACAGGTTCTATTTGTCTAGTTCAAAGTATATAAAAGTCAAGGAGTATTTTCTGCAACATCATTATCACCGTCTGATGAACTTTCATTTACAAAGTGGTATAGAGAACGGTCTTGTGGAGGACGGGAGGAACGATCACGAGTAGGATGAGAGGAACGATCACGTGGAGGTCGACCCTCTAGCGATGACTCACGAGACCGGGGCAACGGAAAAGCTCTAGTAGATAGGAGAGTTCTGATCTGAGCTTGTATGCCAAGGAATTGAGCATCTCTAAGCCTTTCTCTTTCCTTGGCCTCTTCTAGCTCGGATGTGAGCTTTATCACTGTCTCCCGCATAGCGGAGAGGCTCTCCCTATTACGTTGCTCGCCTTGTGAGGAAGTCTCTATTCCTTACATTTCACACTTATAGCGATGGAATTTTTTAGTAGGAAGCCCGTATACCTTCCCCCATTTTGGACCGCCAACAGACTCTAACCATATTCTTTCAGCATCCTCGTNCATTTCACACTTATAGCGATGGAAGTTTTTAGTAGGAAGCCCGTATACCTTCCCCCATTTTGGACCGCCAACAGACTCTAACCATATTCTTTCAGCATCCTCGTCCGAAGGTTGGGTTGGCTCGCCCGATTCACCAGCTGGATGACTACGAATAAATTCCTCCACGTTACTTTGGTAGCGACCCTATATTATTTTAAATTAAATTAGTATTTCAAAATTCTTATAAAAGTAAATTATAATACTTAAAGAAAATTGAAAGCTTATATATGCAATCGAGGCCTGGTCCTCGACCCACCTATCTTGATCCCCCTCTTTCTTCTTCTTTACAATATGCGTCTCCTTGAATAGTTCATCATGGCTCATTGGACGCCCATACTTCTTTTCCTGAAAACAAATTAATTTAGTTAATAAACAGAATAGATATACTTAGAAAAGTAAAATAATTTAAGCAATTATGTACCAATCTTCTTTTTATTATCCCTAGGCTGATCGCACCTCCAGTGTATAAGGAGCCTCCTTTCTCGGATGCGCGAGCTTTCTTTCCTTTTTTGCTCTTCTCTAAGAACTCTGCGGCAAGCCATTGCCTTTGCAAATCATTTCACAAATTCTCAAGTAACCAGTCATGCCTCTTGTTCTTCTTTCTAGCATCCGAGAAAGCATCCGCCAATCTCTTGCGAGCTTTATGATGAAAATTTGCAGCCACTTCCACGCTATAGCATTCTTCCCATACACACTTGCTCTGTATTTCAAAAGTTAAATATTAGATGGAAACACCATAAATATAAATTATTAAACTGCTTAAAAGAACATTTATACCTTAAATTGATTAAAAATTTGCTCCTTCAGCGAGAATGGAAAATCAGTCCAAGTCGCCAAGTCGCATAAGGGACATCATAAAGCTTTCTGATGGCATTGGTGATTATCTTCATAGTCTTATTACCTGGCCTGAACCTACAATTTAACAATAAAAACACATTAATATCTTAGTAAAAATGTTACAAAACAATAGACACAAAAATAACAAATAACACTTACCCATCACCCTCAGGGATTATGATGATCCTGCCATATAGATCATAATGCACTACCTCGTCATCATCATCCGAAGCATGTGTATTAGAGGCATGTGTAGACTGTGTAGGCGGATCAGAGCTACTGCCTCGCAGGCAAAGACCTGAAATAGATGGAGTCGATGATAAAGATGGTTGTGATCCCTGTGACAGCGACATAGCTGGATGCGACCCAAGTGGCTGTGATACTAATGGCTGTGACCTGAGTGGCTGTGAAATTGATGGATGTGATCCATGTGGTTGTGATATGTAGGGATGTGATCCACGTGGATGTGATGTAGATGGCTGCGATGCAGATGGCTGTGAGGCAGCTGGACTGTATGTCAGACGTATAGTCCTATGGCCCTGTGATGGAAGACTTGGTGTCTGGATAAAGGTGTACGGCTCGTGATGCCGTGTCAGCTCAGTATAGCCGTGTGGTGGAGGATAAGACATAGGCACCTCTGAAAAGGGTGGACAAGAGGGACTATTATTATCTACCCTCCTTTTTCCCTTCCTACCATTTTCTTGACCCCGAGAACTAGTAGGGTCATTGTTACCTTGACCCTTGTCTGCCATCTGCATAATATAATACACATTTAGATTGAAACATATAACAAACTAGCTATAAAATGAGAGTGCTTTAAAAAACCAACTTTTTAATCCTCATCGACGTATTGTTCCTCGTCCGAGAATTCTTCGTCCTCACTTGTTTGTTGATTCTTCATAATTGTTACTTCATTTATATCAACTTCTTCTAATATGCGTTCAGGATGTTTCAAATTATTTTCTAACTGATCGTCCACTATTTGATGAATACTGGGGATATCATTTTGATATGCAACATCTAACACATTCTCGACTTCCACCCTACCTACAGGCTTAGTTTTTATTACAACCCACCAATCGGACTTATTCTGCCACAATGGATAATGAGAATAATACACTTGCCTAACGTTATGTGCAATTATGAAAGGATCATAGCGATCATACTCCCTCGTATGATTAACCTCAATTATGTTGTATTGGTGGTGTACTCTTGTACCTCTTGTTGGATTTGGGTCAAACCACTTGCATCTAAAGAATATCAATTTCTTATATGGCCAGCCTATATATTCTAGTTGTAATATTTCTTTGACCACACCATAATAATCAATATCTCCAAATTGGTTGCCATCACCACCTTGAACCCACACCCTGCTGTTGTTGCTATTTTTATTTTTAGAGCAATCCTCTGTATGAAACTTATAACCATTCACTACGTACTTAGACATTGTTGTGACCTGAAGCCCAGGTCCCCAAGATATATATTTTAAAAATTAATTTACACCATTATTTGGATTATTTACCTACATAGTATTAAAAAAATTCATAAGTTAGCACAACTTATGAATCAATTTTTATAGCGGGAACATCAGAAGAACATTATCCGGATAAACTTACAAACTGTTTGAACCACGTATCAAATCTCGTATATACA